ATTGTATGGATATGAAATTTGGTACGTGCCATCTTTTCATTGGGGCGCACCTATAAAAAATATTAAAAATAATTTTTCGATAAAATATAATAACCAAAATACCCTTTGAAACTTTCAGGGGTATTTGGTCATTTTATTTTATTGAAAATATTTTTTTAATACTTTCCTTAGTGCGATTTTAATAGAGGAATGGATGTCCAAAATTTGGTGTCAAAATAATTTATAGAAAAAAATTAAACATAAAATAGTGTGGAGACATGACATTGTCCCAAAGGAAATTTTGATTTCTTAGGAATTGGGCTTGAGCTCTAGTGGGGAGGGCAGGTCACAATAATTATCAATAGAAAGTAGAAATAAACCACACTCCAACAAAACAGAGCAGAAAGGGAAACATCAATTAACAAGGCCATGTTTGGATGGACCACTAACCTCGAAATTCATGAAAAATTGCAAATTTGGCAATGCCAAACGTTCAAATCTATCATATTGATCTTGTCCATTAAGTTTTTTTTTTTTTCAAAAAAAAAGAGGATTTCAAGTCTTAAAAATAATGAATATTATAATACATTATTTAGGCTGTCTATTTTCAAGTGCCCACATATCCGCAAAATCTGTACTATTTTATTAGCTACAAATTTATTTGCCATGCCTAAAGTGTTTTGTTGACGAGGTTTCAAAGCGAGGCTTTACTTTTGTTTTCATAAGGCCCAAGTTTTATAGAAGCTGCAACCTATTTTAAATAGGCTTCTATATAAAAACCCATTCAGCTCACGTGAAAGGAAGTCAATATCACTATGAGTGGCCCTTATATATGAAATTTCAGATCTTGGTACATGTTACAAAGTTTATAAAATTAATCTTGAGCACAATCAATGGCACATCTCGAGCCACATATTTTGACATGGGCAAGAGTGACTTTGTCCTTTCTAAATAATCTTGTTGTATACCTTTCCTTTCGGAGAAGTATCATTTAAGAGGTCATTACATGATCACTAATAGGGTCGAGAACTATCTCTGTGCACATTAGAGTGTGTATTTTTTAATTTTCATTCTTCTCATATATCTCCTCAATAGTGTTCAAATGGCCTGCGTGAGGATTTAGAACTTTGATCAAGCCGGGCATTTTAATAATATGACATGCTTAAGAGGCTCAGTACAAGTTCAACGAGGGTTTCAAGTTACTAAAAGAAATGCCTAAAAATTGTAGGTAGGTCAAAGCATTAAAGTGCCCTTTCTTGTTTAGGGTACGGAACCCATATGGGTTAAGGATTCCCAACCCTAAATAAGGGTAATTTGATAAAAAATTAAATATTTTTGAGGAGGTCATGAGGACGTACCAACAATATTGTAGGTGTTAAAATGGAAAGATAAGGTTTGTGTAAGGCACCCTCTTTATATGAAATTTTTAAAATTGTTGAATACATTAAAGAAATATTCAAATGTATGAGTACCTTAATATAACCCATAATCACAACGATAATTATATAATTATAAATACTAATACTATAGTTCATAATATGATTATATAAGAATTGGATAACTTCAATATACTGACTAATTTCAAAAATTAAGTATGATATATAATAATTAGCACAAATGTTTTTCCAAGAAAAACTGTGAGTAATTATAATGTTGCACAAAAGCTCAAATATTCAAAGGGATTGACTACAATGAGACCATTTATCTTTTGTACATAGAGGTCACAATCATTCTTGTCCCTTAAATTTCAAATGGGTGGTTGTAAGAGTGTCATGAAATAGACACAACGTCTCACAAGAAAATTCTCAAACTTTGTGACTCAGACCAACCTATCTAATTTGACATCTAATGAGTGGGAATAATTGTGATATCCACGGACAAAAGATAGATAGTCTCTTTGTAAACAATCTCATATCCAAAAGCCATAGATTTCGCAATGCTGAACCCCCCAAAAAGAATAGTAAAAGTTGGAAGTACATGAATCCTTGCGGGTGACAATGTTTCATCAAAACATGAAAATAGTATATCATCATTTTTTTTTAGCAATTTCCTTATTTCTTTTATTTTAGGATAGAAGGCACTTGCACTAAGGGGCCGTTTGGATACCTGGAAATATATTGTCTATGAAATATATTACAGGCGTTATACATTACCTGCAAATGGATTGTCACTGTTTGGGTAGTATTTAAATATAACTTGGGAAATACATTGCTATTGTTTGGCTATGTCTAGAAGAAATATGAGAAATACATAACCATCCAAATATAAAAAATATGGTTATGTTTGGCTAACTTGATTAAACTTTTGGTTTCAACATGATAAGTTATTGGAATAATATGATTGGAATAACATGATTTTATTGTGATAAGCTTTATTTTTATTTATTTTTTATAGAAGTCATTCAAATGTTACTCTACATATAATTTCAAATAAGCAATAAATTTATGATACCAAAATCAAAATCTTCATGATACAAGTTAAACAATGGGAAGAAGTTTGATTAGTAAACTACAAGGTTTGGTAATTGCAGTAGAAAATTTTGATGTATTGGAGGAGACTAAAGAGGTATCTTATTTCAATTAATTATATTGTGTGAAATTTTTTATTATGATTGTATTATGTAATTTCTCATCGATTATCGATTATTATTTTTATTATTTTTGCTTTTATACGAAGAGCTCAGGCTACAACCCAAAGTGGGGATAGAGAGAGGTAGAAATTTTTTTATTATGATTGCAGTAGAAAATTATCCCTCATCAAGTTCTACGGTGGTTCAAATCAATTTAAATTTCCCCTTACTGTCAATTACCTGTTATTAAAAAATTTTGTTTTTATATGAGAGTGAGATGAGGGCTACAACTCAAATTGGGGATAGAAGGATATAGAAATTTTTTATTATGATTGTAGTTGAAATTGTCTACGTACACTTGTTCAAATCAATTTAGATTCACCTTTTTATATCCCCTAGTTTCAGTGTATACTTGAGAGAGGGAAATGTCTTTTTTAAGCGAACTTGATAGAGGGAAATGTTTTGTTAAATGAGGCTAGGGCATAGAGATACACGCCAAAGATTTTCAAAATTATGTTTTTTTAAATGAGGCTAGGCATAGCGACGCACGCCAAAGATTTCCAACGATTACCGGTTAACCTCGTAATAGATTTTTCACCCTTCACGACGCATAATCGATTTAATGATTTTTGAAAAAATATCGGGTAATGTCTTTCTATTTTCTTACTATTAAAGTGTACCCAGGTAATAGATTTTCATGTACCAAACGTCCCCTAATAGTAAGGAAATGGAAAACGAAATCAGGGTGAAAAATCTATTATGAGGTTGACGGGTAATCTTTGGAAATCTTTCACATTGTCACACCCCAAGAATTTGCAATACTGATATTCGTGAGTTGTAACAGT